CCTAATCCCTCTCTTGCTAGACTGGATAGATTCTTCATTTCCCAAGATTTCGAAGCCAAGTTTCCTTTCCTCACTCAATATGCCTATCATTCCCCTTGTTCAGATCATTGCCCAGTCATTCTAGATTCTGGTGGAATTCTCCCTCCCAAAATCTTCAGGTTTGAAAAATCCTGGCTCCTCTACCAATCTTTTTCTCTTTTTATCAAATCTTGTTGGGATTCCTTCTACTCTTCAGGGAACTTGAACACCACCTTTCTTCTAAAAATCAAGCTTATCTGTAGGAGAATGAAATGGTGGAAGAAGAACTCCTCTATATCTTCTCATCTCTTAAAACCCGCCATCATGGAGGATCTGGATTCTCTTAATCGCCTTGAAGAATCTCATCCTCTATCTCAGTCTGATCTCTCCCTCAGATCTCAGCTTAGGGATCAACTCTTCCACCTTGCCTCAGTTGAGGAAACCAAGTGGAGGCAAAGATCTAGGATCCAGTGGCTCAAAGAGGGGGACAACAACTCATCTTTCTTCCACAGAATGGCTTCCCATCGCAGGAGAGTCAATTTCATTCCCTATCTCCAAATAGATAATACCATCCTCTCATCTGAAGCTGACATCAAACAAGCCTTTCTCTCCTTCTTTTCTAATCTTTTCAAAGCCAAAGAACCATCCAACCTCTCCATCGATTGGTCTAAGCTATACCCCAATCCAGCTCCAGATCTTTCTCTTCTGGACTCCCCCTTTTCTGCTGAAGAGATTAAAAAAGTAGTTTTTGATCTTCACCCAGAGAAGGCTCCTGGGCCTGATGGTCTCCCAATCCTTTTCTTCCAAAATTTTTGGTCGGTCATACACAAGGACCTCATCCCCTTCTTTCAATCCCTTCACACCAATTCACTTCCCATCCACAATATCAACTACTCCTTTATCACTCTCATTCCTAAAAAAGATGGGGCCAATTCCCCAGCGGATTTTAAACCCATTAGCCTCATCAATAGCACGGTTAAAAATTTTTCAAAAATTTTATCCAACAGACTCAAACCTCATATCTCTTCCCTAGTGGATAAATCTCAATCTGCCTTTCAACATGGTAAGTCAGCCCTAGACTCCATTCTTCTTGCCCACGAAATGATCAACTTCTGTTCATCTGGTAAAAAAGAGTTGTGTGCCATCAAGGTAGATTTTTATAAGGCCTTCGATTGTGTCAGTTGGGATTTTCTCATTAACCTCCTCAAAGCTAGAGGCTTCAGTAACACATGGTGCTCCTGGATCCTTAACCTTCTATCCTCTGCCAAGTCTGCAGTCCTAGTTAACGGCTCTCCCTCAGCTTTCTTTCAATGCCATAGGGGACTCAAACAGGGTGACCCCCTCTCCCCCCTTTTATTTCTGCTCATTGCTGACGTCTTGACCAAGATGATCTCCTCTAGTGCCCTCTCAGGAGACCTCACTGATCTTAATCTGAAAGGGGAGCTTAATCAGATTAGAACCCTCCAGTTTGCAGATGACACCCTTATCTTCTGCAAAGCCACTCGTAGAGATATTTACACTCTCAAAATCATCCTTCGCCTCTTTGGTCTTACTTCTGGCCTATCCATGAACCAGGCCAAATCTCACCTCTACTATCTGGGTAGAATCCCCAACAAAGGTAACACACTAGCTAACAATCTTAACTGCTCCCTTGGTACACTTCCTTTTTCCTATCTTGGGCTTCCCCTTAAAAGGGGTTCTCTTTCCAGAAGGGAGTGGCAACCCCTGCTCGACTCTTTCTCAAAAAAGTTGTCTGTGTGGAAGCATAAATCTCTATCAATTGGTGGTAGACTCACTCTTCTCAACTCAGTTCTATCTTCAATCCCTCTTTACTATATGTCTTTCTTCAAACTCTCTTCCTGGCTCATCAATTCTATTGATAGAATTAGAAGAAAATTTCTTTGGGGTAGCTACCCCAATACTTCCAAACCTAGGAGTTTAATCAGCTGGGGCACTGTCTGTAAACCCAAGGTTGAGGGGGGTCTAGGAGTCATCAACCTCCACTCTTTCAACCAGGCTCTTCTATCCAAGTGGTTATGGAAAATCAGTCTCAAAAACTCATTCATAAGCAAGGTCATTTGGTCTATATACTCATCCAATTCCTCCAACCCTTTAGTGAGTCCTCCCAAGGCATCAGCCTCCAATTTGATTAAAGACCTTTTTGCTATTCATGACTCTTTCTTCAGCCAGGTTCAGTGGTCCATAGGGGACGGTACTTCTTGTAGATTTTGGTATGATAAGTGGCTCGATGCCAATTCTCTCAGGAGTTTATACCCAAGAATTTTTCAACTCGCCTTCTCTCATACCAGCTCAGTTTTTTCCCAATGAATATTCATTAATAACGTATGGAGGTGGCACCCCATCATCAGGAGAGCCCATTCCACAGTGATTAGAGAAGACATCAACCACCTGCATTTCATTCTTGCTCAATCTAAGATTCCGGACACTCAAGCACAAGATAAGATCTGTTGGCCCCTTCATCAATCCAGTGAGTTCACTGTCAACTCATGCTACAGATTCCTTGTCTCAGGGGGCATAAAATCTCACTTATTCAAATTCATATGGAAATCTCCCACTCCCCACAAGGTCAAAATATTCCTTTGGCTCCTTAGCCATCAGAAGCTTCAAACGAAAGATATGCTTTCTAAAAAAGGGTGGACGGGCGATAATACATGTCCTTTATGTAATTCTGCTAGTGAGACCCATGACCATCTATTTGCCAAATGTTCAGTCCTGAGAGAAGTTTGGTCTCTGATCAACCCCATCCCCTTTTCTGACATATGGCCGCAAGATATTTCAGCTCTTCTCTCTGGATCTCCTAACCAGTTTAGTGACTACCGTATCAGATGCCTATGGAGAGTTCTACTGCCCTGTTGCTGTTGGAGAATCTGGTTTAGCAGAAATAATAAGATTTTTAATGGTGTAACTGCTTCCCCCTTGACCATAGCAGCTCATATTGCCCGTTTCACCTTGTTATGGACAGATGCTGCTTCAAGTAGAAGAGCAACGAGCATGCACAGAGCAGCAATCGGTCTCGGTTTGAAGGAGCTAGCCAAAGTTGCTAAGGATGATGGAGACGAGCATGCACAGAGCAGCAATCGGTCTCGGTTTGAAGGAGCTAGCCAAAGTTGCTAAGGATGATGGAGTTGGGGATAATTTCTAATTTCATCATCATCGGTTTGAAGGAGCTAGCCAAAGTTGCTAAGGATGATGGAGTTGGGGATAATTTCTAATTTCATCATCAACCCTTTTGTTGTTTTGTGGGTCTCAGTCCAACAGAAACAGTAGTACTTGTTTTGTAATAACTTCCTAAGTATTATATCTAGTTCTACCTGTGTAGCAGGGATTGTAGAAACCATCTTTGATCTGACTTGGTGGGTGACGACAAGGTCCGCTCCCCACTGGTTATATCATCTACTGGTTCTTATTATCCTCTTTTTTGTCTGGTTTTTACTTGTAATTACCCCATCCCTTTTGTTCTATACATATCTTTAATATATGAACAGGGAATCTCTCCCTGTTTTTTTGATTCAAAAAAAAAATATTGCATAATTTTTCTCCAGTTTGTTCTTAAAAGCATAAGAGTATAACGCGTATTACACCCAAAAATATTAAAGATGATGGAACATTCCCTCAATTTCAACCAGCCTCTAACTAGAAAACTAATTCAAATCACTTAATATGTTTGAGTTACTAGTTTTAAAATAGGACAAAATTATTATTTCTTCCTTAAAGTATTGTGAACTTTCAAGTTGCCCCTTAAAGTACTAATTACATATTTTGCCCCTCAAAACGAAGTTTATGATTTCAATTGGTCATTTTATGAGTCTACAATCAAATATTTAACAAACTAATGACATCATAGTGTTTTTTATATTTTTTTCACGTGTTTTTATTTGTTATCTTCTTCTTTTCCAACCAAAGAAATATTTTTTAACTACTTTCTCCCAAAACTTTTTATCCTTTAAGCTTTTTTATGAATTAAAAAAATCATTTTTTAGATTGCAAAAATACAAGAAATGTAAAAGAATCACTAACATGTCATTAATCTGTTGATATTTCACTATAGGCTAAGAAAATGATCACATTGGACATGTACACATAATTTATGGAAGAAATTAGACAAATTGATACTTCAGGAAGCAACTTGAAACATGACCAATACTTTAAGAAGGAAATGATCATTTTGTCCTCTATAATATGAAGATTTGGAGGATTAATTTCAATTTATCAAAGATTAGGAGATTTAAATTTGAATGTAAATGTCTGGTTTGATGTTTCCTCAACACCCAAAGGTTATCATAAAAGAAAAGGGTAATTCAAACCCCCGAACTTTAGGGGGTGTTGCACATAACACCCC